GACTAAGCCCTAGAATAAAGCATCAAATAGAGCAGCCACATAAATCATTCTTTTACATTAACATACTCTTTGAACAAGACTAATCAGATTTAGCCTATGGCACCCGAAATATTCACAGAGAATGGTGCTGGGTTTTGGAGAAGTGCCTTTTCCTAGTTATATTTTCTTACACACTTTTTTGGCCCCACTGCTCTCCTGGTATCCCTTTTACACACATGATATAGATGCATGTGTCTTTTATACATAACTATAAAGAAATAAGACTAATTCCATAAACTATAAATAAAAGCAGCCACATTGTTTTACACTTAATTTTATTTTGGAAGATATATGAGGCAAATCTAATGGAAACCATCACTGTATTAAAGTAATATGTTTATTTTTTACAAAAGACTTTTTGGGAGCGATCAATATTCATGTTGGATATACAAAGGAGTAATGTGAAGGTGGACCAGGCTGAAACTCAGATGATGAACAATCTTAACCATGACTGCTTTTTAAATTAAAAACAGCTTTTATAACTATACTACTTATAATGGTTTGTGATAAAGCATAAGTAAGAATAATTATGATAGGTGCCCCTTCTTCTTTCAAATAGAGTCATTTGTGACTCTATAGCATAATTCTGCCCTTACACTTTTCTCACTATGCATTTCATTTTTAGGTGTTTTTCTAATAAGAGTAAATATGTCAAAAGGTTTTAACTGAATCTTGCCATTCAGTATCAACACATGGTGCTCTATAGCCTTCCTGATATATCCAATGGATGCAAGAGATATACATGAATGCTTATTTCTGCATGCAACTTCTTATGTGAACATTTCTACAAATGCACTCCCCTTACTTTCCGCTGACCTTGTTTTCTTGTAAATCCCCACCTTTCATGGACCAAAGTGGTGTTAGTCTCAACTAGAAGCCAACAATATAAACACTTGCTATTGCTTTCAGTAGCGAAAACCAATGTCTTTCACACCACACATTTGTGCATCTATGTTTTATCCTGTTGATAGATGACACAGAGACAACAATCTCTAAGAGAGGATTAAGGAAAGTAATCTAGCAACAGCTGTACTGATCCAGTCAACTGAATCTGCAAAAGACTCTTTCTGGACTGTGGTGGTAGTAATGAATTCTTTAGGTTGCGGTGAATTGGTGGATGAGATAGCAAAATGAAGGACAGGTATCATATACCCTTTTAATTTATTTTGAAGTAGGCCAAATTCTAGAAAACTAGGAAGCAAGTTCAGCCATCTCTAAAGAGAAAGTAAATAATTACCATTTCTATAATCCTAAATTTCTAAATCTGGAAATGTGTTCTACAGAGTCATGAAACATTTCATCTATAGAGATGAAACCGATCTTAAAAATACATCATGTTTGATTTTTTTATTATTTATAGATGAGAAAACCAACAATGAAAGAACAAGAGTGATTTATGTAATCAACTGGTGTTGATCAACTAGATTGGAAGATTTTTACTATTCCATGCTATCTAAAACCCATGAACATTAATAGTACCTATCAAAACATATAAATCTGCTACAATTTTCTATTCTCCAGAGTACTAACTGAAGTCCTAGAATGCATTGTGTGTTCTTTCTCATGTACATACGGTTAACAGAGGTAGCAAGGAAAATAGGCCAGTGGTCTGAAGGTCTTGGTTTAGTTCTTTCTCTCGCTACACACTTGCACTATGCCAGAGAATTACTTAACCACTCTGTTCTCAATTACTTCATCTACTTAGGAAAAACATTCAACTAGGTTTATATAATTTTCCACCTCTATTAATTTTCAAATTTCAATTTTCAAAATTAACCCATGTGATTTTTTTTCTTTTGTATATCTTCGAGAGTAAGCTTTATCCCATCTACCAAAATAAGTCTACCTACTGCCCACCCAAAAACTGACAAAAATAATCCTGAGTTAAGGTATGAAAAATTATTTGTCCCTAGTTAACACTCCACAACTCAAAGGACAAAAGATGAATAACAGCTTATCAACAAATGTATTCAAAAGAAAGGAAAAATAATTACTAAAATAGGTTGTTTAATTCCAGATTATTTTTCTAAAAACAGGAATTTATTTTCTACTGTTCATTTACCTAAAAGTACTGAGATTAATGTTACAGGGTAATGATAAAGATAATAGACATAATCATTGGTCTCAAGAAAGGAATATTGATCCTGTGTTATAACCAAAATATCTTCTTCTAGAATCTCACTGTAAAAATAATTATTAAATATTTATTATTAAAAATAATTACTATGCAAAAACCGTAACCAAAGCTACAAAGGAGCATTTTAATAGCACCAATATTCTAATACTATTTAAGGGTTAATAGGCTGTTTATCTTTAAATCCTTCTCCCACCAAATGCTGATAGCTGAAAGATAAAGTAAACAAAAAAATTATATTTGTAAAAATAAAAATCATCTCTTAAATGTGGATGGTTGGAAGAAATTCTAACAATAAAACAAATTGAGGATTTCAGATTATTAGATATCTTCTTTATTATTACCAAATACTTATATCCTTGAGGATGCTGTTTGTTCAAGGATCAGACTTTCTTATTCAAACAAATAAAAAAACAGAACTCAAAACCATGAATTTTTTAGAAGTTCATCAGGAGTGCTAATGTGTAAACGATCAGTAATAACCGTATCATTGAATCTTTTGTCCTTCTTTAGAATGTAAAAAACAAATAAGCTGATTTAAGACCCTCTGGGTTATAGATTTTAATAGTATTGCAGCAAAGATAGGATCATAGAAAAATTGGCCATCCTTGATGGCACAACTGAGGTTTTCTCCTAAATTACTTTCTCAGAACATTTAAGAAAATACCCAAATTATTTCTTGTTCTTTTTCAGTTGAATATTTTCCCCTTTTTTCAAACCAATCAATTACAGACCAAGCTCTAGAAAGAATTATTTTTATTTCTAAAGTTAGCCAAGATCTTTCTTCATTTTGAATGTGGAAACAAATTAGCTCCAGAGCTTCCTAGAACTTATTTCAGGTTCATTACCCAGAGGAGACCATCAAAATAACTGGTCCAGAACATCCTGTTAGTATCAGAAACCATCAGGCAAACTGTCAAGCTCTTTCTTCTTTCTTGACAAATATCTAGTGGTCTCTGTCTCTGAAACTTAAAATTTATTTCCTCTCTCAACTTGCTTTCAGTGCCACAAATTCTTTCAAGTCACAGTAGTTCTTTTTGAGAGATATTTTTGCTTCCAGAATTGAGCTGGCAGCAGAATGACTACACAAAGCAATATGTGAACAGATTAATTGTGGTATTTTAAAAATTGTCTTTGCTTTTCAAATTGTAGTCTAAGGAAGGTGTGAGGGACATATTTTTCAGACTTTGTTATTCCCCTCTACTCATTGTGTTGTCTTCATTTCTTTATCTCCACACTTCTCAAAGTGCATTTTTAAAAGGAATGGGTATTTTAGCATGTCTTCAAAGTTAATTTACAATTATTAATCTGTAATCAGAGGAAAAACACAAAAATAAATCTGTCCTCATTTTTTTCCTGCTCTCATTCCAGTCATTAAAACTAAGAGTTGAATGAGTAATATTCTTTTACATTATTGGGCTTTCCTCAAGTTGTACTTTATTATTTTGCATAGTGCTTGATGAATTATAATATTAATTTAGACAGTTTTTAAATGTTTCAATATAACATTTACCAACATCTACATTTTTGCAAATCCCAAATTCCCATAACAATTCTGATTTTAAAATATAAATAAGTAGATGTTTTTATTAAACTTTTAAAAATGATATGTACTTATTAGCATTAAAATTCCCTATTAATCTAAGCATCATATTCTTTGCTAAAGCATCTTTTACTAAAACACTTCTATTCATTTCATTAAAATAATATTTCTTCACTCCATCGAATTATTAAGATGGAAAATCCATTAGATCACTAATCATTCTACCTGTTCTCTTACTGACACAAGTAAACATTAATAAGTTTCAACGGTAGCCAATGTTACTGGTCAAAAACATATTCCAATAAAGGTTACCTGTACATCATGCAGATACATTAGATGAAAAGCATTTTCATCTTTATATTTTCAAAAACATTTATATTTACTTTCCTTACCCTTTCAATATTTGTCTTTAAAAGTTTCCTGCCAAACTTTAGTACTTCTAATATCTTGTCCATCTTTTATTCTGCCAAATCCTCTTTAGGTTTTTTGATGAAACAAGTGCTTCATTTGACTAAATTTTGTATTGGTATCTTTAGTCTAAATATATTATCACAATAAAACAAAAACTAGATTAGCAGAAAATAGTTTCATGAACAATGAGTGCTTTGCCAATCAAAAAGCTATTTCATTAGAATAACAGCATCAAAAATAAAATTCTATTACTCTTAAATCTTTCAATCAAAACCTTCATTCATACAGATGATCATTCCAGCAAAGTAACAAATATTTGTATTTCTATGATTTGTACCTATGAAAAATGTTAATTCATTCAAGTATAAAGAGAGAATGGAGGCAAATGCTTTAATATGCACATTATGTTAGGATCCCATTGTAAGATCTTTGATTTGCATGTAGTGCCTACAGGTTTTCTTTCTACCAATGCATTTGTCATGAATACACCAAAAATGTCATCACATGTTGTAACAACACTCAAGGTGGTCCTTATCTCAAAAAAGTCAAAGCTAAACATTTAGATAGAAAGTCATAGTTTTAAGGAATGTTGAATTTACACTGCAGTCATAAAATGTTATAAAGCTTTTCCTAAAAATATTTATATACATTTTCATATATATTTCAATTAAAACAACAACTTTCCATACTCTGCCCTTTCAGAAGTGGAATTCAGGATTAACATCCTCAAAACAACACTGTTGAAGAAAAGCAGTGCAGCAAAGATGCAAAAATATGTCGAGGTTGATGGCTTTTTACAAATCTAATTCTATTGCCATTTGAATTGAACTGAAAACCAAACAAAATAAAAAATGGACTGCTGATAGACCTTACCTTCTTGAACTGCTTGAAAAGGGTTGCTTCCATCAACAAATGTCACCGAAAATGTGATTTTCTCAGTCTGTAAAATCTCCTCATTCTGGTTGAGGTCACCCACCGCTGTACGAAACACCTCATCATCCTTTTTGGCAGATTCATCAAAAATTGCTCCTAGAAAGAAGTGAGTGTTGCCATTAAACAATAACATAAATATTCTGTCACACTCTCTGGAACCATGCCAAAGAGACTTATATATTTGAAAAATGTATAGTTTCACTTAAAGCATGCACTTTATTTATTACTGAAACACATTGTACTGGAAGCAGCGTGATTGCTAAGCAGGAATGTAGTTACTTCTTCCAAATGGAAATGATGAATAGTACATCAAAGTGTTATTTCAGGAAAAGCTTTGGTAAGACAATATAGTAAGTTCAAAAAGCTTCTGCAGAACAAAGTAGCTAATACATTAGACGTCTCATATCATAATATCTTTAGGAGTTCATAGTTTGAGGAATATTTTTCTGAATAATAGGAGATAAAATCAGGAAACTTTCTGAGAGCCATTCACACAGTGTACAGGGACTTCTATTGAGATCTGAATTTATTTTTCTTTTTTCTTTTTACTTCCTTCCTTTCTTTTTCTCTTGAACAAGCATTTCATTATCTTTTACAGTAGTAAATTCAATAACATTTATAGAAAATTTAGGCACATACAAACCTCTGAGCAGAGGTAATTTAAGAAATACTTTCTGAAGAATTAACAAAAATCCTGGTGGATGATTATGGCCTTTTTCACTCATATAAAATAATAATGATTATAGGAAATGTGACTAACTTCTATCTGAATGATTGCCTGTCAGCAGGGTATTGGTTAAACACACCAGTTCTAGGAGTAAACTGATTTCAAATTCTGACTGCCACTTGTTAAGCATATTACCTTGAACATGGGATTCAAATTCTAAACCCCACATTCGTCATTTGTAAAATCTAATAATAATATCTATCTGTGTTATTAACTGCCTTAAATAAGTTTATCCACGTGAAATGTAAATAAGTTGTGCTAACTGAATAGTAAATTTTCAATAAACAGTAATGTATTCTTATTTTTAAATACTGTAATCCAACATTTTCTATTAATATTTTTCCATATTGCAGAATCTCATTCAATCCTTAAAATAATTATGTGATACACATACTACTACATGCACATACAGTCATGAAAATTAAGTTTCAGTGCAAGGAATATGCCAAAGGGACAAGGCCATAGTGCTTGACTACAAAGTCTGCTCTAAATCACTATGGGATACTGCTTTTCAGGATTATACCCATAAGAAGTAAAAGTATTTTTATGAGGATCCTGACTTTATTGGAAATCTGGGAGGTTCTTTCCCAACTGGCCACACATGTCTTCTTTGTGTTCATTCTGATTCTGCTAGTTCTAAGCAGGAACACACTTTTAAATTGTTTATTTTTAAATTATAAACACTGGGCCAATGTACTTTTTACCTTTTTGAGTGAATCAAATGAATGTCCTCCTGACAAAAAAAGACATACATGCCAGGGTCAATAACATGATAAAGGAATGACTACACAACCATATCCATATACAGATCCCCATACACATAATATTGTTCTTGACTATAATATTCTTTGTAATGTGTAAATAAAAAGGCATTAAAGTGTCTTTTTTTCATATATAAATACAATATGGGTATTATATACACACACAGAGATAAACATAGACTATATATACAGACACAAATATACATATACATGTTTATATCTATACACATCCACACATATGTATACATAGAAGCAGACATTCTACATATGCCATTTCTGTTGATTTTATGCATTTGTGACTAAAGCCCATAGCCTTCTAGTGAAAGACAGATCATGATATTAAACATGCATTATTAGAGTCAATACATGATAAAGCAAGGGTGAAACTATGTCTATTTATGACAAGTGTGGCAGGTTACTTTTGCCCTCTTCACCTTAAATGGCCTCATGATGATGAGGCAATTATCAATTTTCACTAGAGAAGGCAGAGTGTCTAACAGGCTTTTTGTATGAATCTAGCTTTCTCTTGTCACCGCTCTTTTATATTACCATGGAACGTACTAACTTTGACCAGCCTCTTAAAACCCTTGCTTTCTACTTCCTATAGCTTTGAATACCTGCCCACAGCTAAGAGCAGGAGAAAGGAAAAGAATTTTTTTTAACTGATACATAAAGTACTCCCTAATTATATTATTATATATTAGTCAGGAAATTAATATTTTACTAATTTAATCAAACATATATTATAGATGTTAACTTTTGATCTCGCATATCACTCCTGAATCAGATTGAAATCTACTTTAGAAATTGATTTTGTGAAATTAGTTAGACAATAAATGTTAGATGTATCTTGCTCATTTTAGGCCACGTTCATGAAAATGCATTTTAATTTGTGATAATTGTTATGAGAATCTAGATTAATTAATACTATCAGATTCAGATATACAAATTTCTTTAGTAGTTTGTTAGAAAGTGTGATATAAATGTAGTATAATTGGAACTGAAATAACCAATTCATTTTAAACCAGATAGTCTAAAATGTCTACGCACAAAGAAGTGATGTATGTTTATATAAAGATGCTTCATCTTGTCATGAATTCTAAATGGGTCTTTTAAAAGAAGAGTTTCTAATCAACCTTGTTTTAAAGCAGGTGACATTACTGACTTCTGCTGAGTATTGGTAACACATTTTTAATGGAAGCATTTTAATGTTACCTGACAGAACCTTTAAGATTGCCTTAAACATTAAACCTGACTTAATAAATGGCAGAAACCTACAGAAATGATAGCAAATTAGTCAATTCCATGCTGAATTAAGACATACTGAAAAGGAAATGCACAAAAGAAGCAGTTCATCTTTCTGCAAACAGCAAGAAGTAAACAGAAGAAACGTTTCATCTTACTGCACACAGCATAACCAAAGAACAGGAAATCCTATCAACATTTCAAATCCAGTTATTTATTTACTTTTTTCTTCAGCTATAAAATCTCATCTTAGATTTGGCTTTTAACCAAAAGAATACATGCAGCATTTTGTATTAAGCACAACTATTCTGAAAACAGCTCAGTGAGTTCCACATGCAGAATCTCACAAAAAAAAGTTTTTTCCTATTTTATGCACTTCCAATAGTATAGCAATGCCATCTTTTTATCCTTTCTATCAATTCACATATATTACCAGTCTAATCTGGTATCAAACATCTTAGATTTAGTTTTTTTGAAATTTATAAAGTTCCTCAAATGCAACATTCATAACTATATAGTTAACATGATGACAGCATCTAGTTCTTTCTCAGCTATTTTTATTAGCATTTTTTTACTGTCAGTTTTATTTTACAACCTTGAGGTGAAAAGCAGATTCAACTTACTGTCCAGATGAAATAACTCTTCCACCACTCACACACACACACACACACACACACACTTTGATCAATAGATTATACACTATTTACACTTCACATTGATCAAACTGGAAGGAAGAATAACCAAGCAATAAAGCAGATACGGAACACCTCCTAAACATTCCCATTATACCGATTTGTAATCAGTCAATTCCATTATTAAGGATTGATGATCTGTTCTTTTCATGAGAGGGAAAAAGTCTTTACTTATCCTTATACAAAGAGAGTGACATATACAGGGAAGGAAACATACGTTTTGTTTTGTTTTGAATTAATTTATTTATTTTGAGAGAGCGACAGAGAGAGAGAGAGAGCTTGTCGGGGGGGGTGGCGGTGGAGAAGGGAGAAAGAGAGAATCCCAAACAGACTCCCTGCTGAGCGTGGAGCCCAGTATGGGGCTTGATCCCACAACCCTGAAATCATCATTTGACCTGAGCTGAAATCAAGAGTTGGACCCTTAGCCGGCTGAGCCAACCAGGCTCCCCACATATATGTTTTTAAATATAAACTACAACATGTTTACTTGTCTTCTTAGATCTTGTATCTTAGATAGTAAAAAATTATAGTTTATAGTAATATTAAAACCATCCTGACATCTTTTTTATTCCTTGTTGTGTAGGGTCATCTGTACAAGTCAGCATTTTATACCATAAATCTTTTTACACAAATTCATATTTGCAAATATGCTTGCTAAATAAAACATTATTAGAAGTTAGTAACCTGACCAATTCCATAATTCTCAAAACATTAGAAGCTTTAAGAAACATTAAGCTTAGAAGCGTTTTTACCTTCATGTCCTTATTCATGGTGTTGTCTCCATCATGGATGTATGTATGCTTGTCTCATTAGCAAAATATAATTTCCTGGGTCATAGAAACTATTTTTATACTTTGAGTGTATAAAAGGGAGCCTGGATATATTAGAATTAGTCAAGAAACAGTAATTGATCAATTTTTCTTTATGTTTAGTTAGGCATAATATTATAAAATAACTAGATTCAAAGACAGGAGTAAAAATGTGAGTTACAACTAACTCTAAATTAAAACAAAAGTAGACTTGCTAATGTACTTGCAGGTGAATCATTATCATGACTCCAGAATACCCAAATTATTCAGCAAGTTATTAATCATACACTAGTATTTTTAGTTTGAATATTTACATTCTTTTTTTTTTCTTATACATATAAGAGGCAAGTGTAGGAAACATTGTTTAGCTGGTAAGATAATGGGGGAAAGAAAATGTCTTCATCTAGCTCAGAGTTTTCTCTAAAAATATTGAGAAATGTTTTGATACATGTCTTGAAGAAATTTTTCTAGTAAGTAGAATTATTGGAAGATCTTTGTTATCACATTATATAACTAATATACCAAGTAAATTTTAAAATAAATAATTCTAAGTATCTAATCTAAATATCTAAATATTGTTGTCTAAATATACGATAACAAGTATAAACACATCTACATTACCCTTGCATGATCAATGTTTAAAGCCTTACCATCTAAAAAGACATGTATGAAACAACTGCCCAAAATACATGGTTGGATATCAGAGTTGCAAATAAAATCAGAGATAGCTCATCCTTTTTCAATCATGAAGTTCAAAATCTTCATTTATTTAATTTTGCCTATATATAAATTCTTTATGATATGTAGTTTTAAAAAAGAATAAATTTTTCAAAGGTGCTCTATGAAATTAATCTATTTTTCT